GAAGTGCCTTTAGTTTTAATGAAAAATTCTTGATTATAGGTCATCAGTACTAAATCTTATATATATACATGGTGGAAAATTAGAGTTAATCATAATGATTGAAAATGTAAATTTAGCTCATATGCTTATCAATCAGTTTCGATCCTTTCAGCTCGCGGAGGCAGACCCGTCGACAGTGCTTCCGACGTTTGCCATTCTTGCCAGAGTTTGAGCTTCGGCAGAAAACAACCAGAGCTTAGAGCAGCCTAGCCTCATAGGTTTAAAAAGGATCAATTCGACAAACTTGATGTTCTTTGTTTGCTTTGCTAATCAGACACAACTGCATTGTCCCTTGCTTTTAAAAACTTAAGTGCCTTGAAGTAGCATATATTGAACTGTGTGATTACTGTTAATAATTATTCAGTATTATCGTTCACGTTTGTTATTTAATGCTATATTCAAGTCGTTTAGCCGTTGTCCGACTTGTCCTCGTTCTGAATGCATGCTTCATGAATGCAAGTCGACGCTCCTCCAATATTCTGTGTGCTCTGCTTTATGCTTCCACTGCTGACCAAGTAACAGGACCACCAATCCCAGCCTGCTATTGGGCAAACAAATTGGCGTTTGATTTCCGACGGAACCTAGATTTTACTTCTGATAGTGACGCTGTTGTAAGTAATATTACTATTATATTATTATTACGTGTTATTGTTGTACGATCGCAGAGAGTAACTGCACGTGTGTCACATGCTTATCGACGCAAAGTATGTTCTGTGGTCACAGTCCAAAGTGTAGCAAAACTAGAGCCTTACCCGTAGTTTTTGGACAGCATATTGTAGTGGCTATGGTTTTTCCAACGTGGCAGTAAAAGTTCGCCGGACATAGGTTCTCGGGCGACTCTGATGAGCAGGCGATTCTAGTGAGGGAGCCGATCAGGCCTGAAAGACGTTCTTCTTTACAGGGGCTGTTTTCAGAAGCCGAATCCGCATTCGCGCCACATGTTCGTTCGCACTGTTCGAGGGTTACGAAGTTGTTCGAGTTTCCGCCTGATCCAAGGTACAAAAAGTTCTTGCACCGTGTCAGTGTAGAGTCGAAGTACCACCGCTGCAGAACGTCGTTTCCGTTACCAGGATGAACGGGTTGCGCACATAGCGTTGGGACCGTTTGTAAACCAGTTCGATCGACGACCATCGACTTCCGGTGCCATTTGACTTGCTTACCGCCAGGACAGCACACAAGTTGGCTTTGATTGCTCGCGTACTCGCAGACGAACCCACTCGGGCACAGGTAGTGGTTCTGTTCGGTGCAGAAGCGCACGTCAGAGATGCCTATGGTGCCGTTGCAGAAGCGTCGAATTGTTAGCGAACGGTTTCTCGAAATTTCTTTTTCTATAACCTCTGCGCAGTTAGAAGTGTGTACCAATCAGCAGGTGTACCTTTCACAGGACAGCACGGCGAATCTGTGTTTCCAACCGCTAGAACGCATTGATATCCTTCTGGGCAAGTGAAACCGTTGCTTGCATTGCAATATTTCACTTCCTTCGAAGGGATGTTTTCATCGCAGTACCTCTCGGGCATCGTTGTCGCTGACTGTTTGACTTGTTGATGCCGCCATGCTGAAAATATACAACCTCATTTTTAACTTAGACACTAGCTTCGCTAAGTTCTTTGATCATATGCACTGAATGACGTTATGAACACTGCACTGCTTTCACTGAGATAAAAGGTGTTGGTTGGATTATAAGCGCGTGTGCTCTGACCCTTACCAAGCGTCAACATTTGGTGTGGTTGAGTGACTTAGATTATCGACTAAAGTAACCTGCTGGTACCTCCTCTCGTTTGCCGTGTCGTCTTATAATAATGCAAAACGTGTGCTGTTTAGGATCAAGAGATCAAGTCGTAGGTTCACTAATATGATGTGCGATACGGTAGTCGTAAAGTTGAGCTCTTATCCAGGGACCTGTGGTGTTCTTTTGAAAAACGATCGAAGATTATAGGGATTATGATTTGAGCTATACTGGAAGATTTACATTCGACAATGTGTCGTCGATCAAACTACTTCAAGAGCCGATAATTTCCCTAAGCGTTGACACTTTTCATAGGAGTCACAGTACAGCCTGAAGAATTTTAGGGGAATGAGTGAACCTTGCTGTAATGGATCAGTGGCCTCGATGGTTGTAACCATAGTGGGTGCAGGAATAAACAGTGATCCTATTTTATTCGAAAGCGAACTGTCGCCGATGCAACTTGGCTGACACGAACAGCCCTATCTCATTGATGCCCATTTAACTGTAAGATTTACTCTAGTCGTTTTACTGATCGACTGACTGATGGTGTATCTCTGCCATGGGGTATATGTAGATGGTTTTCTTCTTCGTACGTATTTGTCTATTGAATTACTTCACACAATCCTTGTGAAGTAAATATCACCAGATAGGCTCCACGGAGTCATCTGCCGTTTTCAGATGATCTTAGCGTACTTGCTGCCCATCGTGATGAATTGAGGCGTGCGCAGGGTCGTTTCGCTATTCAGCTAAACCACATCCGCGATCTTTCTGTAGTAAGAACGGACTATCTGTGTGATAAGATACATGAAGACCTCCAAATATCTCGGTAAACTTTCACTAATAGCTGACACCACTGAACCGGTTTCTGGCAATGAGGCAGGAGTTGGGCAACAATGCTAATGCGTCTGTGTTCAGTTCAATGCGTATATCAGCATCTGTGGCCATATGTGCTTGATTTTACCGAAGAATGTAATCACAGATGCAGGCGACAGAAATAAAGGTGAAATATTGCTAGAAATATTCCTGGTGAAATGAGCCTGAAAGAACTTCCAGGCATTACATTCTGATGAATCCTACATCGTGATCGACAGACCGAGGCAACGTGGCTTCGTCGTTTCGATGGTAATCAGAGTGACTGTCGATGACGCATAAGGAATGCTGTTTTACTGCAGAGATACGAAAAACTGATGGCCGGTAGACCGCAGATTAAATAGCTAGATCATGTCGAGAAGTTGCAGTCGATCAGAATCGACTTCAGAATTCAAGCAAAAGATTTTTACAGTTGGAAAAAAAACAGAAATTCTCGGAGAAGTATCCTGCTACTGCTACCCCTCTAAAAGGAATGGGGATTTTGGATCTAAATGGAATATCGCTGCACTGACTGACTCGGTTATTGGATTTTTAAGTGACGTCCCTCTCGCAAATCGGTTATCATTTTCATTCTCTGCACAAGAATGAACATTTTTTAAATACAGTAATGTTGCAATAATGTCAATTCTGTACCAGGTTTGTATGACGACCAGGCAGCCTGCTGCTCACTTTACATGATTATCATTAAGGAAAATATCTTTCGTCATGGACGTCATGCCCTCGACTATGAATTGAAAAAAAGAAGATTTTGTAGTAGCCAAGTTATCGAAGTTAATTCTAAGAGTTCTCAGAGATTCGCAGTTCTAAAGACACGTTCTTCTCGATGAGATCTTTTGATCTTTTGATGAGATCGATTTGTGAAATGCTTTTTCATAATCCGTCATTGAAACTCTTATAACGGATAGTGGGTAATCACCAGTGGGCTAGGGAATGGCGTAACAAAGGGAGATACAGTGAAGTATGTTGGAAAGCAGTTATGGACGCAATGAAAGGAGGAAAGGAATTGAGAGCATGTTATCGTTAACATATCGTTCTTC